CAGCTGGTCTCGACTTCTTAAGCAGATAAAATGGTGGCCAGGGAGAGAAGAGTATGTTCAAACAGCATCTGCATTGTGAAACGGCGGCTTGGAGGCCGTTTCCTTTGTTTCTGTTAGCCTATAAACATGCCTGGACCTGTTTCATTGGAACTATACCTATGCATTGCAGAACAGTTAGCACATGGCTACCATAGTTAAATGTGTACTGAAAAATATATTGGTATTAAAAGAATTCCCTTTATTTCACAGCAGTTTGCTTCAGAATCAATAGTGTTACTTTAGAAAGGCAGGCTTAAGAGAGTATTCCTTCCCTTCCAGGTTTAAGGTTTTTCTTGGCTGAAGTATCTTATCTATTGGACTTGGATTTGGACTGGTGTAGTACTAAGATCACTGGACAGGGAATGAGGCAATCTCAGTTCTAGTCCCTGCTCAGCCATGGAGCTCATGGGCTGACTTTGCACCACAGATTCTCAGCCCAACCTACCTCACAGGGTTGTTGTTGTGAGGATAAGACTGAGAAGAGGGGGAATTATGTGAGACACCTTGCGTTCCTTGAAAGGAAAAACAACAGAATAGAAATATCATAAATAAGAACAGGATAAAAAGGACTATGGAGTGGAGGATTTTGTACATCATCGGGTTCCTCCTGAGAGGAAAAAAGGTGGGATATAAATGCAAGGTAATAGGGAGGATACAAAGGTGACAAATCAACTAAACTTGAAAATTCTTCCCATTACAGATGGAACAACACTCCTATGGATGAAGCTTTGCACTTTGGACATCATGATGTGTTTAAAATTCTTCAAGAATATCAGGTTCAGTATACACCTCCAGAAGATTCCACCAATGGAAAAGAAAATCAAACTGTACAGAAAAACCTGGATGGCTTGCTATAACCTCCTCCTCCTGCTAGATCCCAAGAATCAGAATGACCCATCTATTTAATTGTGAAAAAAAGATTATGAAGAGCGTGTGTGTTGGATAGTGTGTTGGATAGTGCTGTATATTTTTTCCAGAAGTACCGCTTTGTTTCAGTGTTACAGGAGCTTTCTTTGTTGCACATACAGGACAATTCTAGTTTCGCTTTCAGAAAATTAAAACAAAACACCCCCACCCCCCACCTCAAAAACTCTCCATTCTTTATGTGAACAAAATTACCTCGTGCTACATGTAACTGATAGAAAAGAAATATTAGATGTTGTTGCTTAATGCACTGCCGATGTATTTATTTTTGTTATCCATGAAGCTCTACTCTGTGGTCAAGAACCTTTTTCTGCCCTGCTTTTTTTTTGATATACAAATGAAGCTGTCTGAAAGCGCCCGAGTGGAATGAGGCTGCTACCGTGTGCAAGTGTAACATGGCTGCTAGATTTCCAGACTTGATGTGGATTTGGTGTGTTGAGCATAAATCTGCATTAGGTGTGTGTGTTTTCATTTCCCATGAGACTTGTTTACATCATGTACCTCTCAAACTATAGCCTGGTGACTGTGGGCAGTGATCTAGGCTTAGCTGTTGCAGTGTTTTATCAGGGAATCTGTTCCAAGGTTTGATTGACCAAAAAGTAGAATGTAATTAGATAAACTTGCTAATCATACTGAGGTTTCTTTCAGATCGAGTATATCCGTCCCCTTTGCCCCAGCCCCACAACGAGCATTTCTTCAGTCACTGCAGCCTCCAGCTTGTAGAAGGTTTTGGCATGGCCTACCTGGACTGTGGCGAATGACAAAAATGCATTTTCCCTTGTATCCTCCTCAGCAGTAGCAAGTGCATTTGCTAAATGTCATGGACCTGGATTTACTTACCTAAGGTGATGATGTGAAGCACTACTAATTTTGGATTAAATTCATTTGCGGATCAAGAAGACTGGGTCAAGCATTGTTCCAGTGAAGTTAGCAGAAGAGATAACTAGGTAACTAGTAGAGCTGGACAACCTGCATTCACAACACCAGGGCCCTGATTCTCTGCAGATAGATTGTGCATTGGGTCTTGTCAAAGTCATAATTGGCAGCTGGGCATTCACTAAGTCATAAGCACTTGAATTGCCAACAGCTGATTTGCAGGCATCTTCTAAAGGAGATGTAGCTCAGCTACATTTGTGTAAGCCTGAAACAGATAGTTAAGCGTGGTGCTGATGATGCTCACACTCGACCAGTGGGAAAACCGTGAAAGTCGGTCTACTTGATACCCTGCTCTTATCAATAAATGTTGATAAAAATGAAGGAGACAGGCTTGACTTGTACCCATGTAAATTTCTTAAGCAAGTGGGAGGGAAAGAAAAGGGAAGTCTGCGATTCAACAAGTGAGGAACAGGCAAAGGCTTCCCCTAACCTTGAGCTGGTGAGGCAAGACTAAAGCCTGAACTGCAGCCCAGCCTAAAGCAGTAGTCACCTTGTGGACACTGATTAACAAGGTGTAAATCAGGGCAAAGGAAGCAGAGGTTGAAGATGAATCAAAATTCAGAGTAGGTTATATGGATCAGTATGGGGAAAGGTGTATTTCTGACAAGAGATCAAAGAATACTGCCATTTGCTATTCCAATTGTCTTTAAAGTCCAGTCTAACATAAAAAGCATGGCAGTTTCTTGTAAATGCTCAACTTAAAGGAAAAAAATCTGTTACTAACAGCCTACCAGGCACCTGGGAACAGTGCTCGTCACTGTGCCATGCTCTTCCTCTGTTGTTTTAGCAAAATCAGGAAAAGAATTTCCTGCAACTTCCCCCGAATTGTTAGCAATCTGGTACCATGGTCACATTAGTTCTGTGGGATGAAATTGGGTGAAGTTCACATCCGGTGGCTTTGAGTGAAGCATTGCAGCTGCTGCTTCTCCAAAATGCATGAACAACTATTTATCTCCATATTAAACATCCAATTTTTCCCCCGGCAACTCAGCTAACATTTCAGTAGGTTATATTCAGCCATCATTATTCAATCAAATTATGCTAACGGAAAAAAGTTACAATTATTTATACAAACAAAGCCAGTGTGCCCAAACAGCTTGAGTGGCGACGGGTGCCGCCCTTGCAGCTGCCTGGGGCCCTCCAGACGCAGGAGGCTCCAGACACGTGGAGGAAGGCAAAGGCCAGGCTTGCCGCGAAGCATCCAGGCAGCCGGTTTCAGCGCTCTCAATGCATTGCCCTGCTTGCAAGGAGGGGCGGAGGCACTGCCTGGATTCTGTGGGATGCTGGTGCCACGCTCTTCCCCACAGTCCAGGGATGCTTGTTTTCGTTCAGAGCTGCAGCCAGCATGCAAAGAGCCGCCGCAGATGCAAGGGTGGAGGAAGGGTCCTCTGAAGGCCAAGCCCCCCAGGACATGGGAGGGCTGCTCCAAAGCTGCTGCAACAAGGCCAGCTTTTCCTGCAGTGGCAACACCTGCCAGCCGGAGGAGCGCTCCCTTCGTTGTCCCCCCCCCCCCCCCCCCCCCCCCCCCCCCCGCCAGCATATAGAAGCTACTTTAGTGCCAGCCTCTTCTGCAAAGGTAGTTTAGCTTTTCCTCATTATAGGAGGAAACTGTATTTTGTAAAAGCTTGCATCCATTGGAAGTTCATTTTAACACGTGGATTTGTTACTTCTCAAGTGTTCTTTGCGGACACTGCTGTTTCATTACCAAAAGTCGACATTGTTTTGCTCTAAGAATACCCAAACCGGTTTTGAAGTATGAACATTCTTATTTGATCATGCCATCTAAAAGGGTTTTGAACGAACATCATGCTTTGCACACCTGCGATGGTCTTCGTCTCTGTAATCCCATCTTTTGCAGATGTGTTGTGTTGGACTGGTGTCCTTTTTTAGCTTCAGAGCGGGACTATCAATTCCTGTTTCTAGAAACCCTACGAGTGATTGTGACTGATTGGGCTTGGCATTCTTTATTGTAGGGAATAAACCATGATGAATGTATTTTGCTTTTCGACTGTTTTCCCATGATTTACTCTCAACTTAAGATACTTGAGCTGTACCAGTTCTGAAAGTAAGGTTTATTTTCAGGGTGACAAACCCAATGGTGTTGCATTTTACAACATAATAAAACAAGCATACCAAAAGAGGGTATTCTCATTTTGCCTACTGTTTTGCTTTCTCTGTTCCCAATGTGCAGGAGACTGTGTTCCCACTGCAGCATGTGTGAAACTTCCCACACATGCTTAGGGCAGCATTAAAAACAAGCAGCATGGCTTCTAGATCAAGCAGCATTACTGCCACGCTGTACAACTCTGGTGTCCCTGCCGCTGGGACACTGTGTTCAGCTCTGGGCCCCACATTACAGGAGGGTATGGCCAGGTTAGAATTGGTGCAGCGTAGGGCCACAAGGATGGTGGCCGGTTTGCAGGGGATGGGGTATGAGGCGAGACTGAGGGAACTGGGCCTCTTCAGCCTGGAGGAGACTCAGAGGGGATCTGTTGGCAACATACAGGTATGTGAGGGGATGTCACACGGAGATGGGCAGAGACCTGTTCTCCCCTGCAGAGGAAGGCAGGACGCGCTCCAAGGGAGCCAAGCTCAGGGAGCCAAGGTTCCATTTGGATGCCAGGAAGCACTTCCTGACAGGACGCCGAGGGTGTGGAATGGGCTTCCACGAGAGGTCGTTGAGGCCCCATCGGTGTGGGTGTTCAAGGATAGGCTGGATGTTCACATGGTGGGCATGTTGTGAGCAGAGCCGGCTGTCAGACTAGATGGCCCGGGAGGTCCCTTCTGACTCACTGTTTCTCTTGTTAGCGAAGCATGGTAGGTAGCCACAACACATCCCTGGCACAAAAGCCTTCCTGTCTTGGTACGCACAACTGGGACTGCTCCGCTTTTAAAGCTGCTCACAAGCAAATTAATCCACAGCAAGTTCTTCTATGTGAGTTGCAAGTACCCAAGTAGCACTAGGTACTTGCTGTATTGACCTCTAGAGTAAAGTGCTTTGAGAGGATGGATCCAGGCTCTGTCTGCCATGAAAGGAAACACTAGTGGAAGGTCCCTGTGCCCCATTTTTGGGGGTTGTCTACCCCCCTTCTCCATGGCTCATCCCATCAACCTCCCGCCTCTGCTGCATTTTTAGGGGCTGCCATGGGAAGGAAGGGGTGGGGAAATCCACTTCTGCGAGAGTGAAGTGGAGTGAACCAGTGTAAATCTAGATCCACTTCCACGTCTTTTTTAAGGTGAAGGTGACACAGTACAGCCCCTCATCAGCTCCCACTTATCGGGGAAGGCAGCCTGTGGTAGGGGCATTTTGAGACTATAGAGAGGAAGAGTGGCTCACCCTCCCAAACAGACATCAGGCACTTCCTGAGGGAAAAAGCAGCAGCAATAGCAGGACAGGTAACAGCCAGGACAAGACCCAGGATCTTAAGCGGTGAACACCCAGTACGCTTAAAGGAATCGAGCCAGTTTCTGTATCGCCGCCACCACACCCTTGCCAGTCCACTGCCATTTAATGATGATTTAATGATAAATGAACTGTTAGTCTGTCTCCCAAGGCTTGACCTGTAGACTGCTCCTAAGGCCCTGGGGCAGCCTGCGGCCCTCCATTTCATGGCAGGTCACCCCACCCTATTACGGGAAGGCAAGAAATGACGCCAATCCAGTGCGCCCCCGAGGCATCTTCTCTGCTTCCTAGAGGTTCCCTTCCAAAAGCACAAGATGGTGCTGCGGTACAGAGCGATTCTAGAAACAGGGTAGTCCGAGTCTAAAAAAGCAGCACAGAAATCACAAAACAAGGAAGAGGCCCTGGAGGACAATGACTTCATCTAAAGCTGCAGCAAACCAGTCTAAAGGTGCACAATTAAGTACTTCATGGTGAGAGACCTTCCACAGCAAAGGCCTGCTTTGTTCCGAGTTGATTTCTGCAGGAAGCGTTGCCTGACTTTCCGCTCCCTGCGCCCTCTAAGCCATTCTTGTGATTCGGTTTTAAAGTGGCGTTCTATTTTCCAGGGAAACTAAGCAAGCATGCAACGAAACACATACACAAATCATTGTGGGCTGATGTAACGGAGAGTAACTAGGAAATACTATATGTAGCAGCGCTACTCAGCCACTTCGTAAAAGCACAGAAGAGTTGCTAGGTTTTCAAGAAGCTCTTTCCGTAAATCAGAGCATGAAATGTAACATTCCACCCTATGGAATGCTGAGCCTTGGAGGACACCCTTAGGTCCTTAGTCGCAGCTATGAACGTAACTAAGTCTTGATGCAGATTGCCCCAGGAAGCATTTATGATGCGTATTCTGAACATATCTGGAGAAGAAAAAGCAGAGGTTGTCAAGTGAAGAAAGGCTCGCTTGGTTTGCCAGCTAGCCTTTCTCGACCCAAATCCCCGCTACCGTTCCCATCCAACCCAGGAAACACAGGCAGAGGCATGGTGGGAGCTGTGAGGCCACAGCAAGGAGGGCTGATGCCCGTTGTTGATGGGAGTCTTTGGTACAGCAAAAAAAGCTTTTATCCAGCCCAGCAGCAAGGAAGAGCCCTTCTGATCTTTAGTTCTCAAAAATTTCTTGAACATTAAAAATGACTATTCCAGGGCAGCTGGAATGCAGTCACCAGAGCTCCTGCCCTCCATCACCATCTTTCTTGGGTGTTACAGGAGTGATTTTGTTTTTGGGAGCCCGGTTCCCACTTCCATTTTGTCTGGGCAACCTGCTTCTTCTTTTATTCCCTACCAACTTTCCTTCCGGGAAAGGAGTGCTTTGTGACCAGCCACATCCCCCACGGCAGCCATTTTAAGAATGAGCTGTGAACTGCATATAAAATTTGTTAAATGAATAAACAAGTCTGTCCTTTGCAGCTGTTTTTAGGAGTCCCCACAAGACATGCTCAGAATTCCAAATCTGCCCATTGTCCTAAAAAATTAGGAACTCCTGTATAGACAATCAACGTTAACTGTTCAGTGTAAGAAATCCCAATCCAAAACATCCGCACTGGGTGGCTGGGAAGACCTCCAGCTGCAAGGGTGGATGAGAGTGTCAGCGAAAATACACACTGGGATGTTTGCAGGCAGAGATGTACTTTTGGCTTCAGCCAAAGCACCAAGCCGAAGTGAGGATTCGGCTGGAGGTTCTGCTGCAGTGTGAATGCGCGACTCAGAGGAGTGTTTGTGCAGCCAGAACTATTTGCCCGCATCCCAAATATCATGGCAAGCTCTTGCGGTGTGCTGTCAGAAGGCCTCCTCTTGCATCACTCACAAAAGCTTTGAGGGGTTGCTAGACCTCAAAGCAGCCAATCTGCGACTTTGCTCACCATGATTTCCGCCGGGCTTATCACACGTGTCACTTCGTCGAAATCTTCGGGAGACATAGGCAGGAGGTTCTCTGTGCTGAGCAATCTGGAAGGGTGGCTGTTAAGACACAAAGGGACAAAAACGACAAGAACGTGACTGCTTCTAGTGAAACTGGGAGCAACAATGACTCATCAGCCCTGGCAGGATCGCCTCTCCTACAAAAGAGTCTCGGATTTTCCTGCTGCGAGTTGTAACTGCTACCCAGAGCCAAGACAAGTCTAATAGCAGGCCCACCTTGTCTTACGGGTCTGGCTCCAACTGAGACCCCAGCAGGCCCACTGGGTGGCATAAAACCCAAGCCCCTCCTTGCCAATACAGGAGGACGGCACCACAAACAAATAGGACCCCTGTGGTCATCACCGTTCTTCCTCAAGCCACATGTGCATGGAAAACCAATGGATATACAAGAGGCCAGGAAGAACAGAAGTGACGCATGCATGCATGCTTCATCTCTGATCCAGTGCTCATGTATTTCACGTTCAGGCATTCGCAGGCGAATGCAAGAGTCCAAAAGGAAGCATCAGAGGATGAAGCTTTACGCTGTAGAGCTTCTACTCTCTGTTGTACAATGTTCAGAAAGCTTCAGCTGTGGGCAATACAGAAACGAGAGAAAGAAATAATTGCACTGCAAAGCAATTAAGAGTCCTCACCAATTCCAGGGAGGGCAAATTATGCTTTTGAGTGGCCTGTATTGGCAAGCTCCTTGCACAGAGAAAAGTGGCCTATCAGAGGGAATCGATGGAGTAAGTCATCTTCTAAACGAGCTCTGCCAAGAACCTAGCCTGCTCCATTGGAAAGCACTCTTCCTGCTTGCACAATGCCCTTGAGAATGCACCATAACAGACAAAAGTATCAAAGCACCTTGCAAAGAAAAGGTTACTTCAGGTCTTCAGAATGCTAAACATCACTGTATTTCACACATCAGAAGCACAAAGATCTACCTATATACCTGGTATCAGATACCCTGGAGAGGAAGGTCCAGTGTGGCATTAAAACTACAGCTGCTATCTTCAAAAATCAGTCAAAGCAACTAAAAATGTTAGCACGTTAGAAGGGAGCATTTCTAACTAATTGGGTGACATTTTAAAAAACAACAACAGTTAACAAAAAGAAAACATCTTGGAAGAAGCATTCTACATCCTCACGTGGAAGGGAATACCTCTTTCAAGATGGCCCCTAGTGCAGTTTATACAAGCGCTTGATAAAGCCAAAGGCAAACACATCTGTGTTCTGTAGAACCATCACTTTAGTCATAGGAAAATTCAACATTTTAGAACACTTTTGATTAATTCACATATTTTAATTAGTCAAGTCTGCCATACTTAAAACCTCTCTGCCCATCTATGGCCAGTGGTATCATTCTAGGAGAAAGACTAATACATTCTTGATATGCCTTACTGATGAGTTCTGAAACATTGTTTGATGAAGGAAGAGTTCTAGAAAATATTTATGAAACATTATTTGATGAAGAAAGAATTCTGGAAAATATTTATGCACCTATTAAGAGTGTAGTATCATGAATATTTTATTGTAGAGGGGCATTTTATGATGGGAAGGCAGTCTATTTACAATTATTACTATAATTACTGTTACGATGATTTGAAAACTGGACATTGGAAATGAAAACATAAGAAGACAGAAGGTCCTAGATTCCACTCTAATTAATTTAGAGACAAGACACAGAAGCAAAAGTAAAGAAGAAGGGAAAGGATGGAGGGAGAGAGGGAGGGAATGAGGGCTTTTGTTTTTTCATGCTGGAATGGAAGAGTCTTTTTTAGTATCAGACAATAAAATCCACTATTGGAAGGAGCAAATTCGAAAAGGTCTAACGGTAAGAAGAAAGGGGCTGTAGTTGAAAGCAGAAGAGTAAAAAGAACAAAGGGAAAGAAAAGCAAGCAGGTAAGTGGCAGGAAGAGAATGGAGGGAGCTCATGCAGGGATTTGACCAGAAGACAGATCTCCCATGCCGGAGTGGCCAGAAGGGTGACATGGAGGGAGGCAGCATAGACCCCAGTGCTGGGCGAAGGGCATGGATCACTTCATCTGCCAAGGCACCAGTGCAGCCATAAAACTTATCCAGGTTAGCTCCTGGTCATGATTCTGCCTGTCAGTCACTGAGGTCCTGTTCCTTCCTCTGGGAGCTTCCCCTGTTGAATCTACTCTCTCCGCATCTGCAGGCTCCCCGCCCCACCCCGCCCCACCTTGCCCGGCCCCAGCCCCTTGCCAGCCAATCACCCTGGACCCTCCTCACCCCGATGACAGAGAAACTCTGGGGAAAATCTACCCGCCCTGTTTGGCACATACTGCATGAAAATTAAAGAAGCACATTATACTGATATCCAATATTCACTGTTTATTTTGACATCTCTATAGGCATGCTTGTTCCAAGTGCAAGAGTCAAGTGAGGGCAGGCATCGCTGGCTGCGGGGAGTGGTGACGTGAGGTAGGTGTGTAGGTAGGCGGATCCGCACCGTCGCCTCCAGTGTCAGCACAGGCATGGACCAAGGAGGTCGCGCGGCTGTGCTGGTCCCTGGAGACCACTTTGAAGGCACATGGTGACTCTGCATAAGCAGCAGGAAGGACTGCAGTGCGGGGGAGCACCTTCTACCCTGCTATCAGATTTGTGACATGCCCTGTGTGTTGCAAGGGAACTCAGATGTCTTCTCAGCAAACTCACACTTCAGATACAGAGATTAACTCAGTTTTGATGTATCCTTTTCCTCCGCCATCCACATCCATGGGTTCCGCAGCTGAAAGGAGAGAAAGAGATATCTCGCTTTAGTGTCTCCAGATCACGGAGGTACCAAGAGCGTGCTATGAACTTAAAGCATTCCATACTTTTGCTCAGAACATTTCTAGTTCAATCTCAGGCATGTCTACTGAGAAGTAAGCTCAGCTGAGTTCAATGGGGCCCACTTTCAAAGAGGCATGGATTACATACTATGATAAACTTGCCCTGGAATGTATCATAAAAGGAAAAAAAGTTTAAAAATACAATTGTTCGTCCATGTAAAGGAAGTCTCTGAAATCCACAAAAAGCTTACTTCTTTAGGCCAGACCAGTACATTATGTAGGTGACTCATCTTTTCAAAGATCGGATAGTTTCTTCTTGACAAACAGCATGGGAGTGGGAAGGAGCGGAGAAGCTGAAATGCACACTTGAAATTTCACAGGCCTGCGGCTTTTCCCAGACAACTGCACTGCAGCTGCTTTGCCTTCTCCCCAGTCCCCTGCTGCCAGGGTTCTGGACCTGCATTTTGGGATTGGGGAAAAGTGGCACTTTTAAAGCCGTATGCAGTGGTAAGCTGATCTGAAAAAGAAACATGCATGGACTGCCGTAATTATAGACCTTACAGAGAGCCTAGGGACAAAAGCTGGGGCCAAGTCCAACTAGCTGGGGTTACCCAGAAGGCCATGCCTCTTTACCCCAGACCACAACTGCTCAGCGGTAGCCCAGCAGTAGTGAACTTTCCCCCACATTTCCAAGGGTTGAAATGCCTCTCCTTCGAATGCACACCGGTATTTTGGCATTTTGGGCCCCCTCTTTGGCTTGCGGGGAGCTTCTCCAGAATGGGACTGGCCCTCCAGAGGAAAGCCGTTCTGTGCCCAGGGAGACTGGCCCTTCGGGCTGTTTAAAAATGGAGCGCTGGTTTTTTTTTAAAGCTACTCACATTCTTTGGGCCTGGAGTAGTATTTTCCAAAAGCATTGTCTTTGGGAATATCTGGATAAAGGAACTTCAAAGGATTTTCAGGAATATTCTCAGCAGCCATCACTTTGTAATTGCGAATGATATCAGGGAGGCTAACAGCTGCAAACTCCTTCTTGGTGTAGGGCTCAACTGAGTGGAAGCTGAGTTCTGCAGAAAAGGACGAAGGGCAAGGAGGAGAAAGAGGTTAGTGCACAAAGAACGGCTCAAGATTCCACGCCTTCTGCCTGGCAGGAAGGGAAGAGGATGCCAGCTACGCAAAGCTAGTTTTTCTCTACTTGCCAATTTAATTACCAGGGAATTTACATGGGCCTGAACCGCCCTTTCAATGATACAGTGAAGGATGCAAGCAAGTTACACTGCTGCCACAGCTGGTTTCCCCAGGCACTGCTATGCAGCAGGGGTCCCTCAGGTCGCATTGAGTGGAGCTACACCAAAGTGGTGTGCAGAGCACAGCCTCCTCTGCCCCTTTGGCTAATAGTTTCTCCCTGGCTTCACAGACTGCTAAGCTATATGCTGCTCAAGGAAAATCTGTCTTTGCAATTGTTGGTGCAAGTTTCAACCACACAAATACAGTACAGATAATTATTACTTTTTAAAAACAAAATAACTCTAGTGTGCACAGCCAAGGGTCCACTTAGTATGCCTACCAAGCTTCAAGCATGTGGAGTTCAGACTTGGTGTTAAGAATGATAATAGGCTACGAGAAACATGTTCTCTTAGCTTTTACTATTCTACATTTAGGGAAGGTTTGCTTTTCCCCTCCTCCCCAAAATAACACAAAAACTTGGGGCAACCATGGAATGATTGGTGTTTAAAAGACATGCATGAAGGAACGCAAATTTTGGACAGAGGAACTCCTGAGAGAAGCTGGCAGAAACTGGAGGAAGGGGACAGGGACCAGACCATGAACAAGCAGTGATCCTGGGCCATGCGGCTGCGGATGATGAGAACTGGAGTTCAACAACCTTTGAAAGGCCACAAGTTTCCTGAGCCTAGTTTTAAGTAGATCTTGACACTCAAAGAACCTTAGTTACTTGCCTTTTTCTTAAAAAAAAAAAAGACTGAGATTTTCAGAGTCCACATTCTGTAGCCAGTACAACACTGCATTCCCAGTCCTAGCAGACAAAGACCTCTTGGGGAAACAATATAAAGAAAACTAAGAACGTGGAAAGAATGCAGCCATGCTCCTATTCCAACTCAATGACTGGCTCTTGTTCAGAAGAGGAAAGGAAGCCAACACACCAAGTGCCAAGCAGCAGGGCTGCCAACTGACCAGGAAAAAGAGGTCCAACACAATCCTGTGTCTTTAAAAGAACGGTGCTCTGCCAAAACCACCAGCGTTTCCACGGCCCAGAGACGAGCAAAGTCGCTTATGCGCAAGATCAGGGGGGCTTGCACTATTTTGGGAGCAAGGCTCCTGTCTGTGGGGAAGGACTGACTTCCACCTGCATCAGGAGAGGTTCCTAGTTTTGCTAGCTGCCCCCAGAAAGGAAGCCACAACACGCCGCACTCTTCCTTCCGTGCTTTTCTGAAAAAATAAAGACTATGAAACCAGCCGGTGCATAATGAGAGGGCTTTTTTATTTTTGCTCACCGTGTGGTGGCCCTTCTACCCAGGTGAATGTGATTGCTCCTTCTCGGCAACTTTCACTGAACCTCAGGAGAAAGGTTCCGCTAGGCTTATCCTTGAGCAGGGCACGCTCATGCTCTTTGCTGATAAAGCCCATGATGCATCTGCAAAGGTGAAACAAACGCACGCAAACAATTTGTCCCATTCACTGCAGTGGGTCTACTCTAAGTAGGTTCAGCACTGGATGCAAACAAATGTGGGGGAAATTAACGAGTAAGTACATGCAGCTGCTTTACATCCCCCTCCAAAAACGAAGCCAGTTCACGTTTGAGAGTCAGAGTCTACAAATTGGACATCTTATACTTGTTTGTTCATAAAATGAAACAGTCCTAAAGTCACTAGTCACTCCCGTGCTTTTACATGGAAGTCTATGATCCTCACACAACAGGTAACAGACCAAGGGTTAGCTGAAGGCCAGGTCTAAAATTCTGATTTTGTCCTCAATTCCTATTCAGGTTCTTTGCAAGGATTTTTTTTTTGCTTTTTTTTCCATGTTATATTCATTTTGTTTGTTTTTTTAATGTCCTAGGTCCATTTTCAATAACAGTATCAAACTGAAACACGCACAAAACAGAAATCTTCCCCCAAGGGAATCTGGATGCCCAACTCTCATTCCAGTTAAAAGAGTAAATTCTTTTTAAAAGTATTTTGATTTGGGATCCCAAGGAAGAAACCTCTGAAATTCTCACCCATCATTCCAAAGAAAGAGAAGGTATTTCTTAATGAGTTCAAGGATCCCCTCAATCCACAGCCAGAAGGGAAAGCTTTTATCATTAATGTTTTCCTGAAATGAATAGAATGCAGGGTCAGAAGTTGCCATCTTCTCTAGCTATACTGAAACTCACATGCTAGAGCACCAATTATGTATGTCCAGGGTATACTTAGGGGATGTACAGATTGTGTTAAATCCTTTCCATCTGTGTTTCCCAGATTGTCAGGCACTTTTCATGCCACTGTCCGCTCATAGATGAAACCAGACTTTTTAAAGGAATGTGTAAGAATTTCATTCCTGTTTGCAAATGCACAAATACTCCTAGCACAAAAGAGCAAAAGAAGGAAATCTGCAAGTCTGCAAAATTTGGGAAAAGCTGGCCTGCTGCAGAATCTACCCGTTGAAGTGACAGAAATCTGAACTCATTTGAATCCACTGAGGATTTCTCCATCATCCCTAGGGCTACTTTTAATTTTCATCTTCTCACAGGTTTGTTTCCTGATTTTCTGGATCCACTGAGAGGCGTCTTTAACTGTTACTCCCTTTCCATTCTAATAAGTTTTCAAATCCACTGATAAGCTCAGTTTTCATAAAATCTAGGTAGGCATATGTGAGAGGGCATTTAATAGACCAGTGGTTTTCAACCTTTTTACAGTTGGGGACTGGCAAAAATAGGAAAAGTATTTCAGGGACCGCTGAGGCAGAAATAAAAAGCATTATATACATATGAACATACATATTCATTTTTATAATACCAAGAATATGAACATTCTCTAAAATAACCAGAAACTGAGCAGTAAAAATGCTAATAAAAGACTAAAATATTGAAATTAAATGTAATCGAATACAACTGAATTTTTTTAGAGAGCGACATGTAATTTAAATAAGGCTACTGCGAAATCTGCTGTTGCTTCAAGAACACTTGATCAAAAATTTACAATAGCAAAATACAAAATCAGTATAAATGCAATACTATGCTCATAGCATATGCACATTCAAATACAATATTAACAGCAGAGCAATACAAACTCAAAGTTACTGAGTACAATAATGTTAACGTGAAATAAACTGAACCCCACTCCAACCCCCATACACACCAGCTCAGACTGGCTGAGAAAACACTCTCCGCATTTCCTTTTCTGGCAGAAAACACAGCAGAGAAAGGAAAAGGGCCGGTCTCGGGGCCGCCAAAAGGGTGCCCAGCTGGCTCCCACTGAGTTGCGTCTCCCCTTCGCAGCCTCCTCTGCCAAGGAAGAGTGAGGAAGAGGTGGGGAATCGGCAGCGAGAGCACAGCTAGCCCCGCACTGGTCCTGGCGAGTGAGATGCCGCTGTCATGCGTGCGCGTTTTGGAACACCTCTTTCTGCAAGCTGAGGCTGGTGTGGCACATTTTCTGTGAGTTGTGCACACTCAACACCACTCACAGATTTTTTGAGTTCCTGAGGTGCCTTCAGAGCAAGCTGTACTGGGTCACCTTGAACAAGGACTGCCCACCCTGACAGAACAAAGCTGCTCGACAAACCCTTCCAGAGAAGTGCTCTGTTTCTTTACCAAGGGCACGTTATACTCCCAACAGGGCCTGATTCAGGCCCCCCGACTGCCATGAAAGGAAGTGAGCGTGCAGGCACCAACATCAATGGGCCAAAGTGGGCTTACTCATGGCTGAAGCTGGCCAGATTTAACTGGGGGAAAGGGAGCGCCTACCTTACAAAATCTTGCCCAAGAAATTGTGCCATCTGGAGAAACCGCGCAAGGTTTACCTGAAAGAAACAGATTAGTACTGTGTTACTGACTTACGCAATAGGAATTACTTTGTATCTGTTAGAATGCAATACTGAGATTAAATCTCAGGGCACAAAGAATTAAAATTAGAATCCGTTGTTATTGCAGCTCTCTGGGGACAGAAGAGGACTGCCTGGAAAAAGGGAAACCAGCCCGAAGAGTGCATGCAATAGGGCCTTTTCTGCTGTCACACCAAGACTCTGAAGTGCCCCGAGAGCCACTTCCTAACGCTGTTCTAATCCAGAGAAGGGTTGTGTTGCTGATGGACCCTTACTGGACACACTGAACCCCAGAGCCCAAGGCCACTGAGAGGTCAGCGGAGATGCCAGTTCGCCCCCAAGGGGGCAATGCAGACCACATCCATAGGGGAGAGGCCAGGCATGCACCCTGGTGCCCAGGGAAGAACCCCTCTTCTTCCCTTCTCCCTGCTCCAATCACGACCCCTTTCTATTTGCTGCCATTTTTTAAATGGGGTGTTTAAAGCAGGTGTGCAAATTTCCCCTCCCTTTACTTCCCAGCACTTAAATTGAGTACATTTTGCCTCCATTTACTTCCCAGCAGTTATACTGACATACATTGCTGCAATTAAACAAATAAAAAAACGAACTGTCAGGGAAGTTGTAGTAACCAGAGGGGTAAATATTTGAAAAAGGAAGCCAGAAAAGGGGAAGGGAGTCAACACTTCCTCTTTCCAGAATAGCTGGAGTCAAGAGAAGTGCTAAAACGGTGGAGGATGCTGAGAAGTGTCGGTTTAGCACTGAAAACCGACAGGGCCACATCACTTGGTGGAATGTACCGTCCCCTCTCCTTTTGGTACGCTTACTCCTTTGGCTCCTCCCTTAGCCAAGCTTACGGGCACACTTGCACACGGCCAGCAAATTTATAAAGGGTTCCAATCATGCCATTTTGAGGCATCAAAATGAAATTTAGAAAGTCAGGGGACAATGATGGCGGATGGTCCAAGGATGGTCAGCAGCAAGATCCTGAAAAACAAGCTACTCCCATTTTGTGGCTCTGTGACCAAGTGCGGCAAACCACGATCGAATCTCTCTCTTGGGTTCAAATGACGTGGCCACCCACTCTGGGCAAGAACCACCCTCTGATTAGCCATAAGCGCTCTGTATGTACAGGAAAAGCTTATGAAAAACGTTCTTGGGTGACAATCCACTATTGCTAGCTGGGGGGAGGGGTTGCTGTCTCATGTGAACCCCATCATTACTTGTAGGGGAACCCACACATAAAGCGTTAATTTCTAATTATATATTTTATTGATTTGTGTTCTAATTTTAACTTGAAAAAACTGTTGTGAGCCATCCCACATGACCCATATTGAAGCAGAAAAGGCGGATGCCAGTTCCAAAAACTAATCAGTAAGGCTTATGAGCACTTATTAAAATATTGGTGAATCCATCACCTTTCTGCCCGAAAGGGCCTCTGTGGAACTAAGCAGCCTCTACTATCAACCTCAGGCTAGGCAAGGATGGGTCCCAAGCTGACCAACCCCCTAAGGAGAGGAACCTCCCTCATATTTTTGTATTTCTAGCCATCCTCTTTTCCCTCAAGGAGCGCAAGGTGGCTTACATAACCCTCTTTCTCATCTCGCTCTTATCCCCACAATAACCCTATGAGGTAGGCTAGACTCAGAGTCTGTGACCGGCCCAGGGAGCTCCACAGAGGAGAGAGAGAGACTCACGCCACGGAAGGGCCTGTTCTGAGAAGCATCGAGGGGAAGAAGAGAGGTGCTGTTCAAAGAGCAGAAGTCAGGCGTGCCCCCACACTGGCAGCTCGTGCGGAGTAGAATGTGCTACAGGCCATTCTCTGGCAGGACGAGTGTAGCCCTGTGCAGACTTACACAAAATACCCTATAGCCCCCGGCACTGCCCCAGTTTGGAACAACGGGAGTTGCAGGACATTTTTCTGGCTTAAGCGTATGCGAGCTTGTGCCCTGGATTTCCCAGGGGAAGCTCTCCACCAGGGCAGGCAACTTGTTTCTCTCCAGATGGCTTGGCTTACAACTCCCAATATTCCTCACCGCTGGCACTGATGGCTAAAGGCGACGGGAGCTGTAGGCCAAGACGACTGCTTAACAACGAGGCAAAAGGCCCCGAGGCCTTGAAAAAAGAGGCACTTGCAACGTTAAGGCAGTTGGGGGAGCGGGAAAAGGCAAGGCGAGTGGTGCATACCGAGCAGTTTTTCACCCAACATGTTCAGCTGGTCTGCACTGAGCCCCCTTTTGGTGACCGACGAGAACTGCCAACTCAGAACTTCGGAAAGCTGAGACCATCTTGCGTGCGGCGGATTAAGAAAGAAGGATAAATTCTTGAGAGAGAAATGAGGAAAGAGGGCAGGGAGCAGAGAGAAGAACTTAGAATTTGCACAGTACCTTTCCCACCTCATCACCCTTCCGTCCCCACAACAATCCTGTGAGTCAGACTGAGAGACAGCGACTGGCCCAAAGTCGGACACATGGTGCAAACACAAATGGTTGAGCACCCCTACGGGGATTTGGTGCCCGCACTGTCAGCAGGGCAGTGTACCCAGCCTGTGTTTTAGTTGGATGGTGAAGGAGCTGAACCCTACCCCCAAGGCAGGCTCGGCACCATGGATAACTCCTTTGAAGCCAAGAGCACAAACTGGCGTGGATGCACCGCCACTGGAGCACTGGGTGCCACACTCCTCCCTGGTTCCCCAACCTCGATGGCACCAAGATGATCGGCTTCCCCACAGCTTTCTTCCATCTTATTCCTCCTTCCTGCAAGGACTCCTGCTGTGGTAAAATCCTGCCCTCCCCTTTCCTGCATTGCAACGCACCTGCATATACGGCCTATCTCCCGAGTGTGTGGCACAAGGTAGAGTCGGGATTCCAGCAGAATCAATTCCTCCGGTATTTGCAGACTTCTTCTTGTGCTCGGCCCAATCTTGCGATGCAAGCAGAGCCAGAGGAAGCCCACAAATGCTTGTGGAATGAGAGCTGGACGACGGGGCAACAACCCAACTGGGCAACAACCCAAGCAGCTGCTACGCGTGGCACGAATGAGGGATGATTCAAGGCAGCCATTTCAGCTTAGCAAGAAGGAAAAAAATGGCTATTAAGTTACCTTGGGTTCCGTTGTCAGCATGTTATACCATAAGATAGAAGCCCATCCACTTGGCAGCTGGCTGACGTTGGAAATTACGACAATAGGAAGGGAGGTAGTCTGAAAGAAAAGATTAGAGGGAAAAGCTGAACAAATAGCTTATAAAATTGCAAATGTCAACTGTAAGTCGGAAAAAGCAAGAAAATATTGAAATCCAGTCCTTATACAAGCTGGCATGCTCCTGATGTGTTGACTACTGGGGATTATGGTAGCTGTAGTCCAAGGTATGTAGAAGGTGCTAGGAAAGCGGGGTTATGAAAGCTCTGTTTGCTTTTCATTTTTTTTAGGAATTTTAACGGAAGATGGCTAGGTATTAGCAGATCAAAAAAACTGGGAGAGGCTGGGGCAGCCAAGGGCCATCAGGACTTGCAGCACTGCTGATCCACCATGACTCAGTCTACTCCCCTTCTAAAGCCATCCAAACTGGGGGCCATCACTACATCTTGAGGGAGAAAATTCCAGATTAACTGTGCGCTGTAGGAAGCATCCTGAATTGCCCACCATTCGGCATCACTGGGTGACCCTGGAAGCCTCATTAAAAAAAACCCTCTCCCGATGCACTTCCTCCATTATTTTATGCACTTCTATTTGTGTTTCTCCCACCTTTACTCACTTTTCAATGGTCCCAGCTATAAAGACTCCTCACAGGGAAGTTGGTCAAGTCCTTGATCATTTGGTGGGCTTTCTTCTCCACCTGCATTTTCTAGCCATGTCCTTTCCATACAACATAATAGTCAAAGATGGTGGGTCTGCGCAATGCTACCTGCGCTACCATCAGCTCACAGATCCAATGCCAAGGCACTAGCCAATTATGGAAATCAACCCGGGATGATACACGTAAATAATCCTCCAGGCACCACAACGGCAGCGCATCCCTCAACCCTCCTTTGCGACACAGAAATATCAGCATACATGACTGATGCTCAGAAGCACCCTTAAACTTGTCTACCCAAAGTATGGCTCACTAAATTCAAGGTGACTTCCTCCCCAAGTATGTTTCAAGCCCTAACTCCAAATTCTTTGCAATTGGCATAGGAGGAACAAAAATGAAGTGAAGTCACTCAGCCTATCTGCGGTTCCCTTGCTCTTTCTCCTATAAAAAGGAAATCTGCTCCACCCACTGGTCGTTTTTGGAAAAGGAGTCATGGGGAGACTTCCTACAGGAATCCACTGGAAATTTTTCCATAGCAAATCAAAAGCCCACTGGGGCCACAGTAAGTCCCCTCTAGCTACTTCACTGCACCACTGCAAGTTGCTTAGAGAAGGGACCCTGGAAGCCATCCCACGCCAGATGGCCAGCTATTTGTCACAGTCTTTTCATTGCAAGAACTTCAGCACCACTTAGTAGAGTTACGTAAGAGTGGCCAGGAGCCACGCCTAACTCCAGGCTAACTGCTCTGTAGGGTCTCAGGTGAGAGTCTTCATTCTGCACAGCTACCACCTGGCCTTCTTCACCAAAGGCTCCAGGGACCTTCTGTGCATGAGGACAGAAACCAGCAGTCCAAGTCTGGTGCTGCACCAAGCTCTTCAGAACACCCCATGGGCAAAGTGGCTGCTATTCCATCCCACCTCACGCTCTTTTGTCTCACCTCGAGTTCAATTGTCAGGCCGCTTTGCTCGAGTGTCGTTTCAAAACTGAGAGAATGGAGTTCTTCTGTCACTATGAGAGGACCCTTAAGATACAAAGAAACAGGGAGGAATGATGAAGCAGCATGTAAACAAAGCCAGCTCAGATCTTGAAAGCCTTTGCCTAACAGAGAGAGACAAGCTGATATCCTCCATATATTCTGGTCTACAACTCCCATAAGCCCAGTGAACAAGGCCACTGGCCAGAGATTATGGGAGCTGCAGTCAAAAACATCTGGAAGACATCTGGATTGCTCACCCCAGGGCATGAAATGTTTTCTAAGTCACATGCATGACCAAAATATCTAGAGTAAAATATTCTTGTTGTGTATAAAATAATGAATAGGTAAAGTCCTTTTTATCCTTTTCAATTATGCAATTACAGTGGTATCTTGGCTCATGAACTTAATCCGTTCCAGGACTTTGGTCATGACCCAAATTGGTTGTGAGCCAAGACAAATTTCCCCATAAGGTTCAATGTAGATAAGGTAAATCCATTCTGTAACTATTTTTTTTTAATCACAAAAATTTGAAGTGGGCGCACTCAGGGGGGAAGACGGGCGTGCTCGGGGAGGGAGGCAAACGTGATCACAGGTGCACTGGCGGGGAGGCAGGTGCTCTGGGGGGGATACAAGCACGATCGCGATCGCCACCCGATGTGGAATTCATGACCTGAAGCAAAATTTTTCAGAAATTTCTGTTCGCGACCTGATTTGGTCGTGAACTGAGGTGTCCATGAGCTGAGGTACCACTGTAGTTACATTTCCCGGTTCCATCCAATGTCGCAGAGACTTGCTTCTCCCCTTCCCAAATCTGCAAAGGGGGGGACATCCCTTAGTCCTCCAGACCAGATCTTGGGGGCACGTGGGGAGGAGCTTCAACAAGGTGGGATCTGTTCTGCCAGCCACAGTCTGCTCTGCTCCTGGAGAGTCACAGTTGAATTCGAAGCAGTGGCAGCATTTGCAGGTTAACGTTAAAAGCAACAGTATCCTCAGGAACAGAAATCCATGGGATGAGGCAGACTGGGCCATCAAGCAGCCCTTTAATAAGCCATGTCGCCTGAGTAAAAGGAAACGGAGTGAAGGGATGCGAAACAGGCAATAATTTCTCTTACCTCATTAGTTCTTGCAACGTTCTTTTGCTCCTTCAATTGCTGCAAAATAAGGCAAAACCTCTGAGTAAGTGGCATTTATGGTCCATAAATAAATAAATAAATAAATATAAATAAACCCTATTTATATTTTCAGGGTTTTTGATCTACTAGATAAAAAAGCAAATTTCACATCAACATGACCCTGGGGTTCCAGAAACACCTCCTTGCTTTCCTAGCTCTTCTAGTACTGTCTACAAACACGCATCCTTCTTTTGGAACACGCCATTGCCACGAAGCAATGCCATCGACCGCCATGGAGGCAACTTGACTCATCTTCAGCGGCAAAATGCCTTCTTTTTTTAAAACTTGACTAATCTGGTTGGCCTTACTGAGCTATTCCTTGCTGACTGGGGATTCTTTGGGTTGCCGTCCAACACAACTGGAAGGTGCCAGGCGGCAGACGGTTCCCTCAAGGGGTCTCTGCCACAGCCCTCCTTGGTCGGATTTTAAGCACAAGGTGGCTCGGAAGGGGTTCGTCTCGTCTCCCAGAGGCGAGTCACTGTTTCTGGGCATCTCTGCCCCATGGCTTGCTCTAGAATTGGCCCAGTGAATGAACGGCCTCGTCGACCAGGGAAGCACAACCACCTGCCAGAGCAATTTGAGTAGGTTTTACTCAGGCAGCAGCAAGTCGCTTTTAAATTAAATACAATAAAGCCTAGGCAGATCCATATACTTCCGACAGCCTTTATGCCTTGGAAACTGCTCCTTTGACATGGGGTAAATACAGAGAAATACATGTGTGGCTTTAATACAGGTATGCTTCCAGCAGCATGGAAAAGAACTCCTAAGGCCAAGACGAGCCCAACCTATCTGCTGCCTGATTGCCTGTGGAGAATGAAGGTCTTTAAGTTTTCAGAATATAACTCATCTCTCGCCATATAAAATTTCCTCACCAAATGTCTAAATTCTGCTGACAAGCTTCCGTTTGATTCTTCCAAGTTCATCACTTTGGTATTGGTCCCCAAGATGTTAAATTTCCTAAATCTTTAGTGAGACACAGATTATTTGAATGCATCTTTGATAAATAGCAAATCGATTTCTTTCTCAAAAAATTCAGCAAAGTGTGCGAGCAAAGAGGCAACTTACCCTCTAACCGTGTTCCTTTCATTGACATCTCTACAAAGGGAGAAAAAAGTGGTCAGGCAATAGGATGATGTGTATCAGACATCTGGTTATAGTTTCAGCAGTTGTGCTACCAAATGCATTACTAAAATATCACTATGCAATCCATGAGCTTTTTCTTTCACAAGGAAGCATTAAGAATATGAAGACAGCTCTGTGGTACTGCAATAAGGGCTTTATTAAGGTAGGCATGGGAAACCTGGCCCACAGGTCAAGCTGTGGCCTTCTTGTCACCATTTTCTTGGGACTCGACTCTCCCTCTCAACAGGGAAAAACTCTTATCTCCAATCGAGAGACAATCAAAGATAAGAGCTACTTCCCTGCTAGGGAGAGGAAGGAGGGGCCAAGAATCTGCAGGTGGAAAGTACAGATTCCCCCACCCAACCATCCCCACTCCAAGATGTTTTTCAGACTGGAATCTGAGCACTGGACTAAAAAAAAGTTACTCAGACTTGCACTGGAGCAGCACTGCTGCACTGTAAATTGGAAGAGTAAGCTCGCTATTGCATTGCTTGTTTGTAATATTGATATGCCACTCTATAACAAAAAAAGTCTCAGGCTGTGCAGCTCCCACCACAAAACAGGGTAAAAATGACAAGCAAAATACAACAAACGTCAAAGAGATTGACCCTTCCATCTTTGCCAAGCATGCCACATGCTCACTCTCCACTCCATTTCAATCAGAACAACGTGCTTTGAGCTGCAAGCACAAATATTCACACCAAATGAATGCCAACTCCAAGTCACAGGTGCCCCACTGTGCAAAGTAAGGTTTACACCAATGTGTCTACAAGCAGCAGAGGAAGAAACTCCAATTCACAGAAGAATTACGGTGTTACCGTATTACCACTGGCAGGCAACAAATGAAAATGGAGAGCTGAGGGTTGCAGCTGGATCTCAGTCCTAATAAAGCTCCACTGAAACATGTGGGTTTCAAGTACACTAAATCAGGATCCGAGCCTGAGTGTTAATAAAGGGCACAGATTTCAACTTCTTCCAAAAATTGTAACAGGGAATGAAAGCTGTGAGACAGGTCCTCATGCATCTCGTAATGACAGGCAGGCAGGCACTCACTTGTCAAACACGACCTGCACTTTCAGTTTGTAATTCAGCTCCTGTAGCTTTACCAGCAACCTGGAAAGCAAGTCACACAAATGTTATTACCCTTGCTGGAAGAGAGTTATCTAGCTGGTTTCTTAAGCCTCTGAATAAATCTTTCTTCTAAATGTCATCTTCTCTCTCTGTGCATCAACAGGAGAGCTAATTAACCCACTTAAGAGAGAGCTTGTACACAACCGTGACCTTCCATGGGTGGATGGTTCTCTGAGCCGGAGGAGGAAAAGATGGCAATGCTTTTTGCACATTCCTTTCTGCAGAAGCACCTCACTGCACAACCCGCTGTGCAGAGCACAAAGGTCTGCCCCCCATCCCTGCTGAAGAGTGAAGGGGGAAATTGGCAAAGCTGCCCCTCTTCTTTCCACAGAGGCCTGGGAGCCATTCACCTGCACAGGGGAGTGGATAAGACGCCCCAGGATGTTTGCCACCTACAGCCAGCACGGGCAACTTTGAGACATTTTGGCCTACCACTCATGTTGGCTTTAGCCTACCTGACCAATCACAAAGGACGATGGGAGTTTAGGCCCAAAGATCTGCAGGGCCAAAGGTGCCCACTCCTGACCATTCTGGGGGTCTTTTCCCTCTCACTCACTAGGAGTCTTCCACAGCTGGAACAGCCAAGGGTAATCGCTAGGCGTATCCCCCGCTTCATTATTCATGGTGCAAGCCCACACACCTCAACTCAGAAGGAGCCCCCTGAATTCACTGGGGCTTACTCCCAGACACACCTGCGGTCTACGTGGCAATTCATGATGATCAAGAACCCACCCGCAGTGGAAGTGAGCAGCATCACGCAGTCATCTCCTGCTGGCCGTAAGCTGGAAAAGGGTTTAAATGATCCCCTTTTCTTGAGGCACATTTCCCTCAGTGGCTTTCTCCTTCACTTGGAGTTATAATACGGCATTAGAATGCTCTGTTCCTTCTGAACACATTTCCCAACCGGGGGCCCTTCAGGTGCTTTGGACTGAAACTCCAAACACAATGGCTGGGAATGATAGGATTTACAGTCCAACACAACTGGAAGATACCAGCTTGGGGAATTCTGCTTTAGAGAAATTAAGTAAAACGAAGCAGGCAACACATTTGGCGCAAGTGAATACTCCAAGGGGGAAAAATTACCTCAGCTTTACCGTAAACTGCACTCCAGTTTTCAAAACCAGCGGTCTCTGAGGATGTGTCGGCATGCAGGGCTGCCTTTCTACCACAAAGGAACTGGAAAAGAAACGGCACACGGATGGTGAATGCGTCTCTCTGCAAGGGGAGGGTGAAAATTGCAGCAAACATGCACCCAACGCATCAACGCTCAAACAATTTCCTGCCAACTCAACAATTCAAATCAATGGGCAACTGTTTTTCCCCTGTGAAGCCCCTTCTCCCATCCAGACAGCTACCATGCCACGAGCCCTCACAGATTATACAGATGGAAACGTCTAATGGCTAAAGATACAGGCTGTTTTAAAATGAATTCTATCAACAAACTACCTATTTGCCCAACCCACACCTGCCCAACTGGTTGGGTGGTGGCTCCCATCAATGCGAGCTGGCCAGGAAGCAAGCTGCCACAGGAAACAGAACAATACTGCTGCCGGTCCCTTCGCCAGCTTCCAAGTTTGTTGACGGGAGGGAAACGGATGCCCTGAACGTGAGCAAGGAGGAGTTTTACCATTGAATGAGCTGCTTGAAGAGGCCCAGGGTGCGCTCGTACAGTCCTTTCTTCTGCTGAGGGATGGGGTCCGAGTCGTAGGTAAACTTCTGCTCCAGCTCCTCCAGTTTTTTAAGCTGCTGACGAATCTGCTGAAGACTCTCGGCGATCACGGTGAACCTGCCGTTACAAGAAGGGTTCTGGTTCTGGGGGGTATCCATCTCGCTGGGGTACATTTATGGGGCTGGTCTCCCAACTAAACACTCCCCCAGAAGCCTTGAGAGAGAGAGAGAACCCCACTCACCCTGCCGCTGGGACTGGAGGAGATGACCATTCTCCATAGACTAAGGAACTGCCAAACACACACCATGCTTACCTGCCAAGGATGGTCTCCAACTCAGTGCTCATGGGCACCAGTGCGCCCCACAGACAGCTACCCTGTCAAGCTCTTTTATTTTACTTAACTTTTGTTAAACTAAGTATGTTTAACAAATTTTTAATGAGGAAGCTGGCTTGCAAAGTGAAATGCTGCTGCCCAGCACTATCTGCATCTGCGTTCAAAATTCTGGTTTTATGTTTGGGAATTCACGCTCCACCTGTTTGGTGTTTGGTTCAAGGAACTTTTCCTTTAGTCTCATCGGCTTGCCTGCTGGGAAATGGGCACTTTGTGACCAGCCATGCCTATTATATCAGCTCTTTTATGCATGAGCAAGCAACCATGGCAGCCATTTTGTGAGAACACCCATCACACTCTCTCAAATTTCCAATTTCACTCAACCAAAAAAGTTGAAGACACCTGAACTAGGGTATCACACATATGCCCATCTTCCAAACTTGGGGTAGAGAGCTACAGGTCTCCTCAAGGAAAGCTACAAGAAAGCTACAGGTCTCCTTCTTAGAAAATACTCCTACTATGACAGTGGAAGGAGTTTCTTCGTAATTCCCAGTGAACAGCTTTGTTGGGGGGAACCCCTTCCATATGGAACATTATCAGGTGATCTTTCCCCAGGCTGAATTCTCTCCAGTCTTCTCTCAAAAATCCCCTGGTGGCATCAGCCATGCTTTCAGACCTACCAGTTCTGAAGTTGGTCCAGGCATGCATTGGGTGGTCCCCCAATACAAGCAATCTGTTGCCGCTGCTTCCATTCAACCAACTCTTCCCTAATCAAGGCGTTTTGTGTATGCTCAGTCACATTGAGGGAAGCTGTTATCTTGCGTAACACATTCTGAGAATGAGAAACCAACCCATTTTCCATCATTACTTTAAAAAAAGAAAAACAGAATGTCCTACATTCTAAAAATCAGTTCCACGCTTGTAAAAAGAGAAATCATGTGGTCTACAAGGGAATGAAAGCCCATGGGGAGAAACTAGGCCAACCCTTCTTGGGCCTTCCAGCTTCAGAGGACTCTGTTGCAAAAGGGTCCATGCAGCAGGAATGTAGATGAGCCTATCTTTTGAGGAATTTTTTTAACATTTAGCCTGCACACTGTGGCCCTTTTTAATTGCTTTTATAGATGTTTAATTTGTTATGTTTTAATCGGTTTTAATGTGTTTTTACCTGGTAATATGTTTTATGCATTGTAAGCTGCCTAGGAGGGCCTCGGCAATTATAGGTGGCCTATACATACACGTAAATAAATAAATATCTGGGTTACACTACAGTCGAGGAACGCTTCATGCCACCTCCAGACACAGTCGGAAAAGACTCCTGCCCGAAACCCTGGAGAGATGCACCGAGTAGATCAGACTTCTTGGTCCAGGTGCCCTTCAAAATCAGTTGGGGATGCCAAGGGTTTGGTGCCCAACCTCTCTAGAAGAGGGTTGCGCTAAGGTCGATGGACCAATGGCCGGCCTTAGTGCAATTCGTATGGCTCCCTGCATTTCTCCAGAGAATGAAAGAACAGACACACGGTGGCTGAGCAGCTTCTCTGGCTTAGGAACAGCTGCTGCCACCATGGATTCTGCCACTCTAGCAGGGACCCAACTGAAGGTCTAACACCCAGGTTAGCCAGCAAACCATGGCGGTGTTCCAAGCAGGCCAAGCTTAGCTTTACCGTTTGCCTCCAGCCCTGGGCTGCAAGCCACAGAGCTGCTTTTGATGCAACTGCTGCTGAAGTTTAGCAGCATGTGGCAGCAGTGGGGAGGCACATGAAACCCCCAGGTGGGCCACTTCTGACCCAGAACTTAACCCGAGTACTCCTCCACCTGTGCCTTGCAAGGGCCAATCAGGGCTGCTTGACAGGGAAACACACCGGCCACTTTCAGGGCCTGCATTGCTGAGAAATCTCAGGATTCTCAGGGATCCTGTTTAAAATCATTACGACACTAAGCACACTTTTCAATACAGAGGGGAGCTGCCCCTCCAGCCATTTAGACAGATGTACACGGTCACTCCCTATCAGAAAGGCAAAAGAGCACCTGACGCATGCTGTGGAGTTGCAAATACATCGTGTGGAGCTGCATTTTTTCCTTTTTACAATCGTCCAGGGTCAGGCCATTGGATTCGCATTCTGTAAAACAGAGTCATTCCGTCAGCAACATCTCGAGCATTTATAAGGAATACAAAACACATTGCAAAGAAAAATGATGTCTTAAAAATATGGAATGATGTGGAAAACAAGGAGCTACATTCTTGCACACAGATTCATCTTCAAATGCATAAGTGTGGTAAAAACCAGGGAAACCTCATCCCCCACCTGCTATTTGGATTTATTTTATTTATTTAAGTTGTATCAGGCCTTTTTTTCCTTTTCAAGGAACTCAAGGTAGCTTATATAATTCTCCTCCTCACACTCTTATCCTCACAACAACAACCCTGTGAGGAAGGTTGGACCAAGAGTCTGTGATTATAGAGTAAGGTTTTAAGCTTGACTTCCTGGTCAACTTAAATTTCCCACAAATTTCCCACATTTCTGTCCCCAGAAAGGTTATAAAAGCACACACGACAAACCACAGCATTCAAAGAGAATGCTCAGGACAGAATTCCAATGTTCTTCCAGCACACAAATGTTTCCAAACTTTATTTGTTGGGACAAGATTTTGGTTCCAATTATCAGTGATTTTTACTCTAATGCTAATGCTATGGTATCATCCACATTTAGTTTTGTAAATTAGATTGATCTGTAGGTAAACCTTGATTAAGAACTGAATGACTTAAATGTGACTAGAGCCAACAGAAGTTTGAGCGTTTTTGTGAATTTGTTAGATACTGAAATTATATGCCATATTTGTGCAATATCCCTTGGTATCGTTCTTCCTATATATTTTTTCTTTCTTTTCAATACAACTTTATTTCTTTTTAATGAAAAATTAATGAATCTTTTTAAAAACTTGACACCTTAGCTGCACTTTTCCTGTGCCCTCCCCCGGCTATAAGAAATAACAGGTGGAAAGGGTTCAGGGAAGCCCTCCCACCTCCCCATTTCAAGTGCCCCCCAACATTTTTGCCTTCTAGGTGACAGGGTCCCACACTTCAGCCAAAATATAATCCAGCGTTCACATTCCCTGCTCCCTGGGATGTCGTTGTCCTTTAGAGAAATGTGAGTGTGGGCAGCAGGATGCAGAGACGAGCTCTGAAGTCTGCACCAGGATCTGAACTTCCACCCAGTGGCCAGAAGCCTGCCTCACTGCCTTCCCCAATCTGGTACCCTCCAGATGCATCACAACCCCCATATTCCCCAGGCAGGTGCACAGTCTAGCATATCTGGAGGTCACAAAGGCTGACATTTTACCTCCAAGATGCAACTTCACACAATTATCTTCTCAACCCACCCACTCACTGGCCCCAAAGAAACCTCATCCTCAAGGGTACAAGCATTCCCTTAGGGCTGTCACGAATCTGAACTCCTCACCTCTGACATGCAAGGTTTTAAATTTGAAATCATATTCATCCTGTGCATCCTCCAGGGTTTTGATGATTTGCTCCACTTCCTAGAAAAGCAACAACCTCTTTAGACATTCAAGTTTATTTTACTACATAACAGTCTACAATTAGTAGAGATCAATCCAGAAATTTCATTTAATCAGTCACTGCACTTCACAGAGGTCTACATGGCCGGAATGGGTCTTCCTTCCATGCCATTTTAACCTTACAGGAACCCTGAACAGTCAGGCAGTTGAAAGACGGTGGCTAGACCAAGTACATTTTGTGGCTAGGTGGAGACTCAGACCTATTTTCAGTCCTAGCCTAATGCCTAACTCAAGGGTTGGCCAGTGGTGACCCTCTTGATGTTGCTGGTCTGCAACTTCCATCAGCCCCAGCCAGCACAGTCAAAGAAGGCAACAGTGAGACTTGCAATCCAACAACATCTGAAGCTGTCCACCTCTGCTCCAACCTCTATACCATGCGGCCTCCACTGGGTAGCATCAGAGGAAAGACCCCTTTAGCTAAAGAAGTTAGCCTGCAAGGGCCAAGTGAAGATGCCACTCATACTTAACATTGTTAAGCATTAGCCATGCCTTGTTGCTTCAGCCTGGAATGAAACCTCAGGTTAACAGTGGAAATAATTTAGCTTGCACAGCCACCTCTTGTCCATGGAAAGCCGCCATAGGCAAACACTGGGCATGCAAGAATCAACAGACCATGGTTTACCTGTAGAAGAGGCCATACCTAATCAAATACCTAAAAGCGAAAGCAAATATATCTGTATCCTGTTCTTACAAGGACTCTCCAGTTAGCTGCTTCCCTCATTCAGGGGGAATGGGGTCCACATCTGCTTAGCTTGAGCAACTCTCCTTCCAGCCTATTTCTGGGATAACACTGAATCACAGCGATGCAAACCAGGATCCACACCTTAAACCATGGTATCACAGCTTGCTAAGGCCCTTGACAAGCCTTCTTTGGGAGCACGGTTCAATCACAGTCAGGCTGGCTCTGAGGGAGCTCTTGGTGTTGCCCGTGTGTATGCAATCATTCGGCAAATGCTGATGATCACTGGAACTGGGATCCCATTCCTATCCTTTGGGTCTTCATTTTGTAGATGGGATCAAGGACATAATCTGCAGGCATACTAAAAAGGCCTTCGCCATCCAATGGATGGTCCTCCACCTTCTATCAATCCACCTAGTGTAGCTCTCTAGTACAGAACCAAGCAGGTATCTGAGAAGGAGAGTAAATGCAGGAGCTGCTCCATGACCCTACAGGCTTTGGATGAGAACACTTCACTCGGTTTTTCAGGTCATCTTGAAGATGGGTGAAGAAGACTGCCACCTTTCCCCTTAAGAACTGTTTGCCAGGCCATCATACCTATCCTGTGGCTCACAGAGCACTAGGGCTACGGTGGAGTAAATGCTGCACTCCATTCAAGTCGAATTTTCTTCCTTCTTAATATACTGGAGCAAAGTGAGACTTGATTCATCTTCAATTAGGAAGCTTCTACTATTACTGAATTTGGCGTGGGGTATTTGAAGAGGAAGGGATAATTCTTTTCCTCAGTCGTATATGTTTGTCATCATTACAGAACAGGCAAGAGTACAGAAGGCTTTATCCAGGGCTGTCTGATTACATGCAATATTGCTGAACGCACCAGGATAGCAACTGGTGGCACCAACTCTGGTTGTGCCCTTTTAAAAACCACTGTCTATGACTGGAACTGACCAAACCTTGGTGTCTACTCCAAGAGACTGAGCAGTATGCAAAAGGATGTAGAAGTTGGCTCAATGCAGCTGTGCCTGCAGCCACGAGGGCTTGTTCCCACCATGAAGCATGGAGGCATGCCCTTCCGATTTTCCTTCATAAAAACCTGGCACTGGGTACAAGAGGCCAACCTATGTAACTCTCAAAAGAAAAGAAGGCCATTGGAGTGACAGCAGGTACCATTTTGGAAGCAGTCCTTGCAGGTGCGTGCACCCCCAAGAGAGAATCACAAAAACTGAGAAGGCTGGAAATGCATTTAAAAAAGAGAAGAATAACTTTTTTGTGTCTCACAAGGGGCTAGTAGCATTTTTTAAGATTAGGCTTGAAGGTTCCTGCCAGCTTCCTATGATGCTCTAGGAACAAAGCTCCTGGGGCAAGAACCACAGATGGTTTTGTTCAAGGATATGAGGCTAGACATGCGCATGGTGGGCGTGTCGTGAGCAGAGCCGGCTGGAGCAGGGGGTCAGACTCGATGGCCCAGGAGGCCCCTTCTGACTCGCTCTGTTTCCATGTTTTGTTCCTTCACTGATGGAAATGGGGTGTCTGAAGAAGCTTCAATGTCTTGAGGCTGCAAAAAAGAACTGACGCTCTCTCTTTGAGACCAAAATCGTCTGGCTGACTTTGACAGAACTCTGCTGTCCCGGCCAACACAGTTGGGTGTTGCCAGTGAAGAGGTTCTTTCGGAAATCAAATCAAGGTTGAACCTGCTGTCTGTAAAATCCAGTGTTTGAACATCAAAGGAAATTGTGCTCTATATAATTAATTACATATATTCCCCCTCCTCCCAACCCTGTGAGCAAGTCTGGACTACATTTGGGTGACCATTTGTGGTGACATGTCCTCCCCTCAGGCAAAATAAGCTGCAGTCTCCATGGAAAAGAGACCCTGCACTTTTGACAGTAGTGCTGATGAATCACAGCTTGTGTGTGGCTTGCCAACGGTTAACTTCTGCCCCATGAGGCCCCTCAAACATGGACGCCTTTTGCCGTTTCCGATCTCAGCACACTTTCCAAGACATTATTCTAAACCAACATCAAGTGCCTTTTGAAGCCAAGCCAAGAAACCACTGAACTTTAACTTACAGTAACACTGTCCTTCACATTCTTGACTCTGCCATCCAACTCTTTCACCTTACACAGCTGTGCCATGTTCTGCACGTTCCCAAGCTGCATCTGGAATGCGAAAGGAGAAAATGAAAGCACGACCATGATCCAGGTCAACGCACTGAATCCCTCAAAGGAAAGCGTGAAGGTGTGAAAGCTGCAGGAACACTGTAGTCGCATTTTCAGCTTGCCCCTCTGCTCACATCAAGGAAAAAGAGGACGCGAAGCCTCTGCACCGGCACGTTAGGTTCAGAGCAGCAGCCTGTAAGCTGTGCCCTACGACTGCAGCAGCAGAGCTGCACAAGATGAATTTCAAATAACGTTCTTTGTCCGATCCACAGAGAAAAAGAGAGGAGACCAAAATTACCTGATCAGCTGACTGGGCAGCCTCAAGGATCTTCCTTTCATCATGCAGACATTTGGAGATCATCATGGCCATATACATGGGGTCTTCCTCAAAAGTCGTCTGAGTTGCAACACAAAACAGCAGAAAGCTATGATCTAGCAGAGGTGTGGGCAGGCCGTGCTGGATCTTTTTGTCTAGCACCACGAGATGCACCAAATGGGGTGAGGAGGAAAATACTGGCTCAGGGCAGATTTCTCTAAGAAGAACTAAAGAACAGGGTACCTCTCTGCACACACCAAAGATTAATGTTTGGAATGAGCACTTTCACACAAAAAAGTATTCCTGGTTCTCTCCTTCCTCCAACACTCCCCAGCTACCATCAATACAGCCACCTAACGAAGAGAGGAGAAACAAATGTCTTTTTGCTGCATTTGTTTCATAATTGGGAGCTGGAAACTACACCAGATCTACTGCAATATACTCGGAGGACTACCAGGAAATCCAGATATATCTACCAGCAGCATCACAGGTCTACCATTGTGTCTTCCTGGCAAGTAGGTTCTCAAGTTTCAACCATTGATCAAGGTCACAGAGCACAGGTGGGCACTTTGTGGCCCACCAGGTGTTTGGGATGAAAACCCTTACACTCCTCCATCATTGGCTGTGCTGGCTAAAGCCGAAGGAAGACACATCTTCGTTTTAAAGATGCTCAACAGCTATGCCTTAAAACACCGATGTGCAGAAAGATCTCGAGATGTTCTGGACCTCAACTATCCATTCCTTAGAGCACCAGATCTTCCAAGATCATCAAGCCATTGGGGCAAACGCTGGCCTTGAGAAAAGTCTGTGTGCACACACTGACATTTGTCACTTCTTGAGTTTCTGCAGCCAGGTCACAAATGCCCAACATCCTACTGTGTGCTAGCTATTTTCCCCACAGCTTATCAGCAAACATTCAAAACATTACAGCTAACACAAAAGAGATTGTGTGGATCAATATGGTTAGGCAAGACACCTACCAACAACGTATTTGATCTGAGAACAAGGAAACTCTTATAGGATCATAAAATGCACAAAGATCTCCAGTGTGGAGCGACTGTAAACTTTCATTCCACGACTGGAGGGAGGGAAGAGGTGGAAAATACCCAACCAAAATTGAAACACAGAGGAAATGACTAAGCTGAGCTTTGGACTTGTGGAAAATTTCCAATGCTCTGTACTCCTGGGCCTTATGGGACAGGAGAGACCTTCCTTTGTTGGCACGCAACCCCGTCCTTGAGGCTACTAGCCTGCAAAGGAAGAAGTTCACTTATTTTGAGATGTTCCGTGGGCTTTTCTATGCGGCAGGATCATTGTGTATGCCTCACATAAATGAAAACACCAGGAAACTGAACTGCTGGCCATGGAAAACCGTCTTTCACATGAGAGCTGTATTGTTGTAAAGGATCGGCATTATCAGATGCTAAGGGATACTTCCCTAAAAGCTACATGCCCAAGGAAATGGGGAAAATAAAACCTTCTAATTGCAACCTCTTGACAGTTTGGGAAAATTTCCCCTTCAATTAGTGACATGTGTGGACCTCAAGATATTTGGGCTTACAGTTTTCATCATCCCAGGAGCGTTGCATGACAACAGGAAAGATTCAGGACGCCAATGTGTGTATGCTAATGTCTATCAAATAATGCAGACATCAAAATGATTATGAGGATTTAGTCACATTTTACAGGAGGGACATAAGCTAAAACATTCCTGCAAATCTGCATCTAGACCCAAATAACCCAAGATCTATTTCTTCTAAGCATAGTTTTTGCAAAAAAGGAAGCTGCTTGGGGAGGGGACGGCTCAGCCCACAGGAGAGGGAGAATTAACCCTTCCCTCCCCAGCTACAATCCATCTTGAAAATTGGAACTCATGGTATTTCGCTTGTGAAAAACCTGTCCAATGGCACCAATAGCTCTAAGTGAAAGATCCAGGGCCCTGGGAACAGATATGGGGCTGGGTCTCTCCTGGCTATGGCTGACTTCCACTCTGGAGAACAAATGTATTTAATACCTATCCACTTCCAATTATTATTCAGATTAGTTACAATAACTCCCATTGGCTTACATACCTGGAGGTTCCGCTTGCTCTTCCTGATATTGTGCTGTAGCAAGAAGTTGTTCTCCTGCGTAAAACGGCTGTATTGGTCATCTAGCTGAGACAGCAGGTTCTGGAAGAGCAAGGTGGCCAGCGAAACATCACTGGCGGCATGGTCCCTAGGAAACAAAGCATTTGAAGACTGGTTTCTCCTCGACTGTCACTCTCAGCCATTTTCTCTCTCACCAACCTCGCAAAGTTCTGCAAGTTTTCCTCTGTTCTTTAGAAAACATCTGCTAAGGACAGCAGCTGAGATTCCAGTTAATCCCACCACAACCCCTCATGTTAAGGTAAAGGTAAAGGTTTCCCCTTGACATGAAGTCCAGTCATGCCAGACTCTAGGGGGCGATGCTCAACTCTGTTTCCTGGCCGAGGGAGCCCGCGTTTGTCCACAGACAGTCTCCGTGCTCATGTGGCCGGCATGACTAAACACCAAAGTGCACGGAATGCTGTTACCTGCCCACCGAAGTGGTACCTTTTTATCTACTTGCATTTGCATGCTTTCGAACTGCAAGGTTGACAGGAGCTGGGACGGAGCAACGGGAACTCACCCCGTTGTGCAGATTCGAACCGGTGATCTTTCGATCAACCAGCCCAGCAGCACAGCGGTTTAAACCACTGCGCCACCTGCATCCCCCCCTCCCCCATCATGTTAAGCACAGGTTAATCCAACCTGCTACACTGCAAGACTCTCAGGTTGGGCTGGTAGCAATACAACGCCTGACAAGCAGAGCAACGTTTCCTTGATCACGGACACTTCTCTGATGACCCAACAACACCTAGGGCACCTCTGCCACCTAAAATACAGCTACTTCCACGTGTGCTTTTCAACAGGACTTATTTCCCAAGCAAGCACAATCCAGCTCAAGTTCCACACTTCTGTAAGGCCCATTACTTTCAAAGGAAGCAGCTGATGCATAGACAGAACTTAATTAGCTCAGATCTTAGGACTACAGACTCAGACACAAGGCAGCCTCTCACCAATCTTGGCTTTCCAGCCACTGCGCCAGATACTGTCTGATCTCCATGGGAAAGCTGTCATCATAGAGCTGGTGCACTTGCTCCAAATATCTGGAGTCCAGCTGCTGCAGTTTATACCACTGACTCATCCTGCAGAATCAGAACACAGACGGTTATATGAAGAGCATCCACCCCAAATGTGCCCTCAGCAGAAGCTTTGGTCTAGTTCAAAAGTCAGGTTCATTAGGTGCACCTCGGTTTCCCCCTTCCTACTAAATGGTTCCCCCACCTCCAAATTTCCCATCCCGTTGGTTCATGATAATGATGGATCATGACTGATGTTTCAACAGGTCAGTGCTAGTTCCCACCAGCAATGAGGGAGGGAACATTCTCCAAAATGCAGCACTGCGCACTGTTTCATTTCTCTGTGGAAAACTTTCCACTTCAGAGGTTTACTTCTAACAGTGAGTGAATGTCAACAGCAAATATGTTATTAGACCAGCTTGGCTGTTTCAATGCTATAATTTGTTTCAGGTGATTGTCCCTCGCAAGCACATGAGAGAACACGTGTGTGCCATTGAAATAAAGACTTTCCTTGAGTGAAATACATTTACAGGCTACCAATTGGGATGGGTCTAGAAAAGGGATCGGACAGATTCGTGAGGAAGGAGGCTCTCGTGGCTTCTAGCCTTGCTGACTTAGGTGCTCCCTCCGCCAGCAGGGGTGGAATGCCTGCGTGCGCCAGTCGCTGAGGGGCTTGGACAGGCAGAGGTCTTGCTGGACTTCATAAGATTTTTGGTTTCACCCAGCATGGGTGTTCTTAAAAGACAGTGACAGTGAAACTGAAGGCACCGCAGTAACCGTAGTGGAAGAAAGCTGAAATAGACAAGTGATTGTCAGAACATCAGACATAGTTCTTTGGGTTGCTAAAATCAGTTTTCTGATACAGGTGACTGTATGCAAATTAACCCAATTTACCTAGGACAATTTAAAATTTAGAATTTTCCAGTAAACCCACGTCACTACTGGTCATTTTTTGTTCATGCTGTTTGTTCTCAAAATAGCCATGTTTAGACATTATGTTAAACTAAGAAAGGGCCTCGCAGGTCTCAAGCTCTGTTCAGCTGCTCCTCGTTCTGGTGCAGCCACGTGAGGGAACATCAGACAAACTTTGACTGGGTTTAACCATGTTTTGTTGGAATATTTGTATGTTAAACCATAGTTTGTAAAGCTGGCTTGTTTCAACTAAACACAGCAAAGGGTTAGGCCAGCATGCTAACATCCAGTTAACAAAAATGGAACCTCAAATCTCCTCAAACCCTGCTGCAAAGCGGAAGAGTAGTCAGGAGAGTACAATCCCAGGGCTCACACAGGCTTCCTCTTATAACACTAGATCATGGTTTAGTGAAACTTCCGAAGGCAGCCAGTCTTGGTTTGGTATTACATCCTGATGCTGCCAATCATTGATCTAAAACAAACTGTTCAAGAACACTAGATACACTGGCTCAAGGATCAAGATAAGCCACAATATATCTGTTAATTTTTAAGGAGCCATAGGAATCTTCCATGTTTGTTTCAAGAGGTATACATGGGTAAGCCTCTGCAAACCCCTAAACAAAACAGAAAGAAAGGTGATCGCTGAGCATAGCTCCTGCCACATATAATGAACGGTTAAATATTTGTTCAACTCATAAAGATCAAAAGAAAAGAGTGCTCAAATACCTCTTCTCTCAAACCATTCTGCTGATACTTGCATTTTTTAAAATGTCACCTTCAAAATAAGTAAGCAGACCAGAGAGTCTGAGAAAATGTCTCCACCAATTTACCAACTTGCTTGGTCATCGCAGACATAATGGAATTCCATACAGGCAACTGCGTGGGAAAGGCAGACTAGGGCAAGTGAAATCTGCCCCTCCTCTGCCACCTCATTTGCTGGGAATGTTTAAAACAACAGTTCCTTCACAATGTGTTGTATGGTTAGTTTTTCTCACTGGTCATATTTACTCTATACAGCGCCCTGAGAGCTTTGGCTATATGAATTTAATACTGGAATAAAACTGGAATAGCCATTAAGGGCATAATCCAGTGCATATCTATGCAGGCAAAAAAGTCTAACAGCTTTCCTCAGTTAGCATTACTAGGTGGGCAATGCCAAGACCTGTAGGACTTTTTTTTATCCTGCTGTGCAGGAAGGGTACATCCAAAGACAGTTTGGAAGCTTAACCTACCCTGCAATGTACTAGTGCATCTGCTGACTTATCAAGCTTGTCATACCACAGAAGTGCCAAAATACCGAATTCTGCAATCTATAGACACGATACACTGCGGGCATAGTAATAGTGAGAAGGTGACAAAAGTTTAAAAGGTGGCCAATTGGGATGATTAGTTTATACACAGCTGAGCAGACTGGTAGGTACCTGCAAATTATTGTCTGCAAATAATTTTTTTGATGGATCAGTCCTTAAATATGTCCCCATTATGATATGCCTGAAGCAGGTCCAGATATGGTCCTGCTCTTCATGTTTACAATAATTCAATAACTGAAAATAAGCACAACCCAACCCTTCATGATATTTCTGTTGGAGGCAAGAATGCTCACATGCCACAATACTAGCATAACTTTATCATGCCTAACTTGGGACTGGGCTGCGTTAAGTAAACATCTGAATGGACCCAGGCTGCATTAAACAGGAAATAGCACGGTTCTGAAAATCCCCAAAGCTTTTAAAGCAGACTTCCTCAAACCAGTAACCCACTAAGTTTGTCTATGACTCCCAGTACCCTTCACCCAACATGGCTACCTGGGGATGCTAAGAACTCTAGAATTCTGCAGCATCTGGGTGGGGATGCTGCAAAATTCCAGAATTTTGGAAGCTGCTGGTTTGGGGAGGTCACTTTCTCCTTTTGCCGCCAGATGTTTGCGTGGCGGTATTGTCTACAATTCTACTCTCGCACCCGAGATCGAAGCTCTCAACACAACGTGCATCTACAACACGGCTTGCACTCGCGTCACTGTACTCAGCTCTGCGGTCTTCCTCACTTTGCACTCTTGTGGTCCCATTCCAGCCTAGGAAAATAAAGACCAGACTTTTTGCGCCGTACCCAAGAACCCTACAGAGAGGACGGCGGCGGACTCCATCATCAGGACTCTGGCAAGCAAAACCAAACCAGCTCCCTCCGTCATTCTTTCGTTTTCTCTACAGGGCTATTCTTTGCAGTCGACTTATGTCTAGACACTGTACTCCGATTCGCAAACAAAAGCAGACTTTACCATCGGGCACGGGCTTCCTGCGTAGTTTGCCCTGAAAGCCCGTGGAAAGCTGGCTAGTTTTTAGGCGTGCAAAAACTTAATTCCGTGAACGTTTGGAGGGTAAAGGCAGTCCTACAACTCCCAGCATGCCCCAAATAAACTGGGCACGCTGGGAATTGTAGGAATTTGCCTCTATCGTCTAAACCCGCACAGGATCGGGCCTGAAAAGGCCTCGCTCACTCAACTCAAATAGGATACTGGAAATTTTCAGATTCGCGCGTGTAATTCCCCAAGGGCTTGGAGAGCACCTTTTACGTGCAAGCACGGATGCCGCTCCGACACCACCTACCTTCTATGTATTAACTTCCCTCTGCCTCCTGCCACCTCACCTAAGCGCCAGCTGCAACTCCTCTCTTTTCCGCTTTCCGACAGTGTGAAATAGAAAGTAATGCGATCGGGGAAGATCAAGAAGCAAGAAGCACGGTTACCAATCGGCGAGATGCGGCTTTAGCCAGCAGCCAATCAGCAGGAGGATTCGGCTGTTACCGTTACTGTTTTCTCCTCCCTCCTTAGGCCCCCAAATGCCCAACCGCCTTCCTCAGAGGCTGCGCCTCTCCTTTGCCAAAACCGCAGAATTGAGGTATTTTGAGGACTATTCCATCAACAGTTAAAGCGCTGCCCCCCTCTTTTTTTCTTCTTTATTTCAGGGCTATAGGATGCGTCGGAACAGTTCTACAACGTTGCTCCATTGTGTCCTTTCTAATAAGGTTGAAGAACTCCTCTGCAAACTTACACCCACTTATTACCTCGGAATCAGTCCGCTGGAACACAACTGGGCTTGCTTCTGAGCGGGCTTTGAAAAGTTGCATCGTCAATCTATCATAAGCCAGACTCCCTCAAGCTGATTCCCACCAGATGCTTTGGACCTTGGCTCCCTGTCACCACAGCCAGCATGGCCAGTGGTTAGCACAGGTGGGCACTGTAGTCAAAAATATCTGGTGGGTACAAAATCAGGGAAGGTGGGCATCAACTATTCCTTTTAAGAGTATTAGTTGTGAGAGATGAAAGTGATTGGATGGGCTAGAAATAGCCCAAATAAATAAGGCAAGGTAGGGATGTCCTAATTTAATATTCAGAATATTGTAGTTAAAACTCAGCCATGGAGATCTTAACACTGCAATCCCAGGCTGATTTGTTTATTATGTAAATTTACAGCTCATCCTTCATTTTACAGTCCCAAGACTAGCCACAAACGTACTGATTAAAGAACATAAATCCATCACCAAAAATCCACTTCTCAGCATAAGCTGGAGCTAATTCTGTGCCTACTTCACTAGAGCAAAAGGCTGCGCAATCCCGTAAGTTTCACCCACTTCTGGAGGCTTGGGTAAAGAAGTGCATCCTGACATACTGACAAAACGAAGATGCTAGACGCACCTCTGAGCAGACAGAATTCCACAAGTTCAGGGCCATCAATAAGAAGGCCCTTCATGAGCTTCCATCTTTGAATCTATTAGGCTGGCAGGACCTCCCCTGCTCCTCAGCACCCAGTCTGATCTATAGAGAAGGAGGTGCTTTTTCAGATATTTGAGGCCCGAGTCATTTAAGACATTATATGTTAAAGTCAGTGCCATGAGCTAGGCTAGAAAGGGAAATAACAAATACTGCCAATCTTTTAGGGCTGGGGTGATGAGTTCTATCACGTCATAATATTACCTCTGAGCTGCTGCTTTCTGCACCTGCTAAGGCCTTCAAGCTATTTTCAGGGCCACTCCAAATAGAAGCCTGACCTGAACAAAACCTGAATGTGGAACTTCCAAGTAAAAATGCCCAGGATTAGATTATAAACATCATTTTAGACACTGCCGATATTCTTTTGCACAAGGCTGCTACTGCAAGTGGACTTTGAGTTGGTGGTCTCAAGTCTCATTTCAATTAAGCTGTGTGGTTGCAGCCTCAGGCTGTTATGCACAAATGCGGGAGAGCACTGAGTTCTGTGGTTGTTACTTCTCTGTAACGATTCCTAGGATAGAACTGCATATGTGATTTATTTTGCCTGGTGGTAAAATTATACTCAACCGGCAATTGCTGCAGAAGGTGGTCCTCTTGCTCAAAGGTCTTTTGATCCTGTCCTTCCTCCCCAGGTCACTTTCCTGGTATCTTATCACAGAATAGTAGAGTTGGAAGGAGCCATGAGGGCCATCTGCTCCAGCCCCCTGCTGTGGCAGGACACCAATTTACACCATCCCACTCAGATGGCTATCTGGTTCCTTCTCTTCTTACTTCTTTGAACACAAAAAGAATGATAGATTTTTTGTAATTCCCCAGAGCCTCAGAAAGATTTAGGGCACAGTCTTATTTTTACACTGGGGAAGGCTGGGAGGTGCAAGACCCTCTTCTGCTTAAACATGCATAGGATCATGCCTTTACAGCGCAAGCTTGGCAAGGCTACTTGATGGGACTTGCTCCCAGGTAAATGTGTGTAAAACTGGAGCCTTGGTTTCATGAACTGAAGTTCGGGGTGGAGTTTCCTTTCCCATCACTTTGAAGCCATGGAGAGGGTTGTTGTTGTGTGTGGGCTCAAGTTGTCTCCAACGTATGGCAGCCCTATGGATGGATGCCCTCCCAAATGTCCCATCTTTCACTGCCCCCTCAGCTCGAATCAGCTCAAGTCCAATGCTTGCTTTATGGAGTTGGTCCATCTCATGTCTGGTTCCCCCTTCTTCTGCCTTCATTTTCCTAGGTATGATGGTCTTCTCCAGACAGTCTTGCCTTCTCATGATGTGCCCAGAGTAAGACAGCCTCAGTATTGTCCTTTTTCTCTAGGGAAAAGCCCCAAGCTTGATTTGATCTAGGACCCATTTGTTCACCTTTCTGCATTCACAAAGCTCTCTTCAGCACGTTGCAAATCTATACGCTTTCTTCACTGTCCAGCTTTCCCACCCACCATGCATATTGAGGACACGTACACCTTAACTTCCATTTTTTGTGGGACTCTCTTCAGTTACATGGGCTTGCATGTGTGCTTCATTTGTATTGCCGCAGAGATGGAAAACTACAAATAATGGGAGGTGGGATGGGAGGACATGTGACCCCTCGCTGCATACGTTTATACCACCAGAAATATTTTCCTGACAAGTCAGTTTTATTCAACATGCCAAGATTTCCCACCGATTCCCAGACTATGAGGGAGAGGCCTGAAAAGGATCCAAATCTAAATTAAAAAGTGACGGACAATGTAAACATATCGAACCCTTCATCCTAAACCAGCCTCACCTCTTTCTGTTAACCGATAAAAAAGACACACAACAGAAGCAGCAGCTGCGGCGCATTGACATCGGCGGGAGGGGAGAACTGTTAATGGAACAGCAGAGCCACGTGTTTTCCGAGAAAGAGCAACTTGTACTGGAAAGCCATTTGCCAGGGCGAAACCGAAAGTTAGCCGAATGCAGAGGGGTGAGTGAAGTGTTCGTGGAAATGGAGATGTGTACTTATTGTTTCTCTTTCAGTACCCCTTTCAGAAGCAGATGCTGCTTGCTTTTCAGTGAAAATCTGGATAAATCCTGTCTGAAAAACATTACTTCTGTGTGCTTTTTGCATTGTGGGATCAAATCCTGTACTTCTCAAACCAAGCTAAGTCACTGTTTCAAATGGCCTTCATCCCCCGCTCCTTTCTCTCACCTTTATCTGTAAGCTACAGTAGACAGGCCATTCAGTCCAAATTTACATTGTATACCTTCACAATGATTAAATAGTCGTTGTTGGAATTCAGTTTACAAGGCAGTATCTTTTGATAGCCCAGAGGCTCCATGTGCCCTGGCCAATTCAGAATGTCTAGAGTAGATAAGAGTCTTGAGTTCATACATAGTTTCAGTAGCTTGAATTTATATGTCTAAGCAGACCTGGAGATGGGTTCAAGCTACTGAACTAAAGTGTCAATACAGGCAATTAGAAATATTGTAACCTCATTGTTACTGTACGATTGACTGACATTCCTTTATCTGTTCTGTATGTGATGACCTCAGAATCTTATTGTAATCTCTGCATTCTGTCATCAATTGCCCTGTACCTGGGTACCTATAAAATACCCTGCAATGGTGTTGAAGCTTTGCAGCAGAGTTCATCTCTGCCTGACCGGTAATGCATGCATTATCGTGAGTACTGCAGGAACCTTGGGGTAATGCAATAAAGCCTCAGATGGTCTGGACGCTTGATCTTTCCTACGAACCCGAGTTTTATTCCCTCTTCTCAAACTGAGATTCCGGGATTCTGACATGATTAATGCCAGCGCTGTGCAAAATACCACGTTTGCGTGGCACTCAGCTAGTATGAAAAACTGTGACTTGCAGACCTTTCTGGAGGTTCTGTGTGTGTATGTGTGTACACACAAACACATGCACTCTGGAATTGGACAGGACAGTCCTCTGCAAAATAGGGTACCTTGCCATCTTTTGTCACCATCAACACAATTTTGTGAATGAGGCAGAGTGAAGGCACAGTCAAAACTTAATTTGGAAAGTCCCCAACAAGTTCATGAAAAAAAGATGCGGTGGAGGAAAGCAGAGAAATTGGACCTTAGGGCAACAGAATGTGGAAAAGCACCCGAAAACAAAGTTGAGGGGAATGCTGTAAAAATAACTAATTGCAAAACCTAAGTTTATCTTTAACTCTGGTTGGGAAATTATAACAAACTCCATTTAAGTGTGCAGAGCAAGTGCTTTATGGGGGACACTTGAGCTACAGGTTTTGCACATGCCATGGCTTCTGCATTCATCGCACATGGTTAGCTCATACCTCAAGAGCTGGTTTCCAAAGTTCTACAAATGTGCAGTCATCTCACATGGATGTTGTAGGTAAATAAGCAGTTACCAGCTGTCATCTGCCTGATCTTACAGTAAGTATCTACACAAGCCCTTTAGAGGGTTTGAAGTGCTAGTGTGAAGATTTCTGATTTGACCAAGAATGAGTGTTCAAAATGTCTCATGTATATACTGCCAGTAACCCTTACAGCATCTAAATGAATACGTCAGCCGGTATTTATGTGTACCAGCTGTACATTTGCTCTGCTTCTCTGCCATTTTTGCCTCCAAACAGCTTTCAGCCTCATTAAAACCACATGCCATACAAAGATACTTATCGTATCATAGGACAGCTTCAGAGAAACCTCCAGCCTTCTCCAACCAGATGGCCTTCAACTATTTTGGACTACACAGTTCCCAGTACTCCAAACCATTACCCATCTCAGCTGGGTCTGATGGGAGGTTAAAGCATCAGTAGGTAACAATGCTGCTCCAAAGTCTCAACATGCTTGGTTGGAAAGGTACATCTGTTAATCGCCTAAGAAGATTCCTGTGGAATCAGCCTGGCAATGGAGAGAGTTCCACAAACAAGAAACCACTACCCAAAATGTGAACATCGTAATTACAGCCAATCTTGGTACAGGGAG